ACATAAATTAATTTTTTCCCATGTTAATTCAATGGGAACCTAAAATAAAAATAGCGACCTCTTAGAGTTGAGCTGGAACGCCCATATTTGGTGAGAATTTTTTTTATATTAAATAAAAACATTTGAGAGGGTAAGAGCGAAAAAAAAATTTTTTGAAGCACCCTTATATATATACATATATATATAACTTATATACATGGATTTCTATTCTTCGCATCAATGGTTACGGTTTTCTTTTCTCTGTGTGGGCCAAATTTAAAAAAAAAATCTGTTTTGTATAAACCAGGATTTGAATATTAATAGTTCTGATATAAAGAAGGATCAGGATTAACAATACCAAAAAATCCATCAAGAAACGAAGGGGGGTTCGTTATTTTTATTGCTTTGTTTACGTTCTCAAGAAATTGTAAACCATGAGTTGCGTTTTAAACCTGATTATATCCTTATTTGGCTTTCACACCGCCACTGATCTGTACCAAGTAAGAGTGAACCGTCATCACCGTTAAGGAATCTCGAGTCTTCTCTATAGAGTCTTCGAGGCGATTTCGCGATGTGTACAACCTTCGGCCACGAGCCCGTCAATCTTGAGCCCGTGAGCTTGCACACGGTGTGCAGCACACCACGTTCGCGTAGAACGTAAACCGCGAGTTCTACTGCACGCCACACAAGCACACCTTGACCATCTTATCTGTCGTCGCGACCAACGTTTAGTCAATTCGCTGCTTTCGAAGCGCGAACAGGTGTGCACAGGTGAAGACGCTCGTACTTTCAATTGTTTACGCGCATATTTTATTATTGGTTTAAGCCACCTAGATTTTCAAGTGCCACCTGTGATTTTCCGTTTATTTAGTTTTAAGTTAATTGAGTGATGATAAGGGTACTTTAAGGATTAATTATCATGGTAATATTACTAGTATATTCGCATGTATAACATACCAGAATTATTAATTTAAGTGTACACATTGCTTGTTTATTTAAAATTATTAAGCTGATAAAGCGTTGTTTACAAAAATTTATGAATTTTTAATACAATGAATTATAATATAAAATACCTTAAAAGTATTGTCAAAAACCATCAAAAAATATTAATAATGAAAAACAATAAACCAAAATTATACACTGCGCGTCAAAATTAACGCATAACAAGTAAAAAAAAATCCAATTCAAAAACGCCTTTACCAATCTTTATAAAATTTTGGATAAAATATATCTCAGTTTACGTGTTTAACGGTTTTTCGATAAAATATCCTTAAAGCCCTTTAATTTAATAATAAGAAACGCTCGAAAAAAACCTTTTATATGGAAATTTTTTTTTGAAGTAAATAAAAAATATGATGTGAAGACCGTATTTTTGTTAGTATACTCTGAAAATGTTGTACAAATCAAACAAACAGTAACAAAAATACAGCGCTTCAAAGTCGTCAAAAATGACCACTTTACAGCAAAATAATCAAAAAGGGGTCATTTTTACTGAAGCGCTGTATCTTCGTTACTGTTCGTTTGATTTGTACAAAATTTTCAGGGTATTCTAACAAAAATACGGTCTTTAACAGAATATTTTTTATTTACTTAAAAAAATATTCCTAAAAGTTATTTTTTGAACGTTTTTTAATATTAAATAAAATTGCTTTAAAAATATTTTCTCGAAAAACCCTTGAACACGTAAACCATTGAGTAAGACAACATACTAATAATATTAATAATAATTTTTCTATAAAAAACTTTGATTTTTTATGAAATTATATTATTATATGATCACTATTTAATACAATGTCGCTGTCAATGTCAGTGTCAATTTACCATTTAAAATCATACAATTTCTAATAAAACATGACGGGTTACTTTGACAACAGCAATAGACTAGAATATAGGAACTTTAGTGATCAATATTCTGCACATTAATTATTATTTTGAATTGAAAATAAGTGAATTACTGTTATGCACATAAATGGTTACTGTTTTATTTTATCCATGTATTTTGCATTTCTGGATAAAAAAATTAAAGTAACAAATTTGTAGAGAATTTAATTCTATATAATAGTAATCTAATGTAGCTGAAAAATAATATAATAATAATACCCAAGCAAAAATTGGGAACAGTTAGGAGTGGCGCAGTTTCTCAACTTTTTAATGATTTTTATTAAAAATAAGTAGCAAATTTAAATATAAAGTTTTAGAGAACTCAAATCCCAACAGCTTTTGTAAAACAAGTTTTTCGTACAACTCGTAGATCACGACTAAAATTTTCGCTTTTTATTAGCAATAAATATTTATAATATTTTATCGATAAATACAAAATAGGCGCGCAAATCGACAAAAACAATAAATTCAAGATGACGGACCGTTCCCATAATTAATTAATAAGGAAAAATATGATTCCTTCATCTACTCCGCTTGTAAGTTTTTTTTACATCGAATTTCATCCAAAGTCATTGTCAGATTTACGATTGTTACTCTCTTAAAATGTATTAGTCAAAAATGATTACTTATTTGACACTCTCTTAAAATGAATTAGTCAAAAATAACTAATTATAAGTCATATTTGACCAATTGTCATAGCGAAAAAATGAAATCCTTAATAACTTTATAATACAAAAATTTATTTTTATTTCAAAATACAATTATTATTAACAATACTAAAATACTGAAATAGTATATTTTGTATCATGTTTGATAAACGCCATTTTAGTCACGAATTTTAATTAGGCACGGGCGTACTTGCGAGCGAGTGTTTAATTAAATGAGTGTCTAGAAAAGTTTTTAAACAAGTTGCATAATATACTTTTTCTACGACAAATACTTATTATGATCTATAAATGATTTAAATTAAATATTTGTGTAGAGCGATATCTATAAAAAAAGTAACTGGCGTAAGAGTTTTTAAATTGGGAATCTGTATAACCGGCGCGCCGGTCAAAATGTCAAATATTTATGTGTAAATCGAAATTTATCCCTTGAAAATGGACTAACAACTAATATAGAAGAAGTTTTTTACACACAGAAAAAACTCTAGCATAGCATGAATGGGTGAGCCATTAAACCAATGGGATCTTGTAATCCGTATTCCTGAATAACAGTTCCTGTAATACCAATAGCTAGTTAGCACTTGGTTTATAATCGTTTACTGTTTTTAAATTAACAACAAAAGTAATCGCTCCTAAATCTATGGATATTCATATTGATATTTATTTGTTAGAATGTTAGAATGTTATTGCATTAAATACTAATTTGATTTATTTAATAAAGTTACTATTGTATGTATACTATGTATACATTTAACTCAATAAATTCTTTGACATTTAGGCAAAATATTTTCCTATTTTGGTTTAATAGTAATTAATTGAGCAAATAACAATTAAGATTGCTTCAATTTTAATGCATTCAATGACAGCCCTCAGCCATTCCAGAGAATTTGAAACTAAGGAGCACAATTTAAAATTGTTTATATGCAATACCTTTAATATGAAATATTGTGTACGTAGTCTAAATTTTACATATCTAATATAAAAATAATATATTTTCCATTATTAGGCCCTTAAAACAATATTTTACTTAATGCGAACGCATCCTAACAAAATCAATCAAAACATTAGTTATTTAGTAGGCTATTGTTCAGTGATTATGTCATTTAATATACAACTGTCATTATTTTATTTCATTAAAATATTATTTATCAGAGTGTTTGGTGACGATTTTGTAAATCAAAATGGGTAAGTAATATTTTTTTATTAACTTTATTTATTTTATGTTGTTAGTGTAGCGTCCGTCATCAAAAAGATGTAATACTTAATATTTCTTAATGAAGATAAATAATTTTTGACTAAATTATTTATTTTTAAAAACACACATTTTGCCTCTTGTCAGTATATTAAGCTTTTTTAGATATGTCAAGAATCTATTTTTTTTTTAAATTAAACTTTTATGTAGCGTCCGTAAGCAAAAAATGTAATATTTTTTTAGATTTTTCATTTATCTTGTTTTACGGTTAAAACACACAAATGCTCATTCTAACCTTGTTTAAAGATTTTTCGAGAGATTTTTATACCGGTGGAATATTTTTTACAGATCAAAAGGAGAAGCGCATTAAACAAAACAGAATTGCCGCGCAACGTTATCGAGAAAAAATTAAAAGTGTCGAAATGACAAGAATTGCACTTTTAAAAAAAGATGCCGAAAGAAAAAAAGTTGAAAGAGTAAAGAAAAAAGAAAAGTTGCAGTTTGATAGTCATTTACGAAAAATTGAGAAATTAAAAGTTACTGAAAGAATGAGGCGTTACAGATCAAAGATTAAACAAATGAGACAAAATATTGAGCAGTCTTATAGTCCTTACAGATGTCCTCAAACGTTGGGTAAAGCTTTAAAAAAAGTTAAAAATATGTTACCAGGAAGCAGTAGCGTGCAAAGGTGATCGGGGGCCCCCCCGCAAATTTTGATCTGGGGCCCCTTTGTCACTTATTCCACCCAATGTGGTTCTCTACGGGGCCCCCCTAAGGTCGGGGGCCCCCCCGCACCGCGGGCCCTGCGGGGCCCGTCCTGCACGCCACTGCCAGGAAGTCCTCGTAAAAGAAAAATTGTAGTGCAGAAGTTAGCTTTAGAAACTATCCCCGAAAAGTTGCGTGACGAGAAGCCCACAATAATTCATGGACTTACTACATCTACTGAAGATGTTAGACTTGTCAATATTTTTTACCTACGTGATGATGTTAGCAGACAGGCCCCAGGAAAGAGAGACACAAAAAGTGTCAAAAATCCAATTACTGGTAAGAGAGAATCTTTACAAAAAAGACATCTTGTAATGACGATTAAGGAGGCATTTGCACTATTTAAGCAAGAATTCCCAGATACAAATATTCAGATTACATGACATGACATTTCACATGCTTTGATTCCAGTTAAATATATGTTTGATTTCGACGACATACTTGTTAAATACAAGCAGTGGAAAGATAATGAGGTCCAACTTGGACCGTCCAAGTTACAGAAGCTACGCTTTTTTCAGTGATCAAAACGCTAGAGAGCCAACTTAAAGTGTTTAAAACACACTGTTTTGTTAAAAGGGTGCAAGAACGGTATTTTGATGAACAAAAGGTTCATCTTGCCGAAGATGAAGTTCTTGTAGTGCAAATTGACTTTGCTGAGAACTACTCGCTAGTGTCTCAAAATGAAATTCAATCGGCACACTGGTCTCACAAACAAGTAACAATATTTACTTGTGTTGTCTGGACACCACAGCAGACCTTTTCTATCGCCATTATAAGCGACTACATGGGACATGACAAGTACGCAGTTTATGTATTTCTTCAAGAAATTTTTAAGAAAATTCATTTGAACTATCCCCATCTATTACAACATTTATGCAAAACAGTGATCTTTTCAGACGGCTGCGCTGCCCAATTTAAAAATAAATATACTCTTTCAAATTTGTGTTACTATGATGTAGAGTTCAACCTGCCTAGTGTTGAATGGAACTTTTTTGCCAGTAGTCACGGAAAGGGTGCTGTAGATGCACTGGGAGGGGTGGTAAAAAGGACGGTTTGGCGAGAGGTAAGAAGTAAAAATATTGAGCTGTTAAATGCCCATGACTTCTTTGAATGTGCCAAAGGGCAATTATCTACTATCAACTTAATATATGTTCGTGCTGAGGATGTTGAAAATATAAAAGAGATGCTGGATAAAAGGTGGGCTGATGTTAAGAAGATTCCTTTTATCCAATCAAAACACTTTTTTATGAAATTAAGCTCCAATTCGTTGCAAACCGCTCAAACAAGAAATTCCAGTTACGAATCGTGTGTTGTATTTAAGTAGTGTGGCATATTTTACTGTTAAATGTAGAGTTTATTTGTTTAGTAAAGTTTTTGGTTGTTTATTTGAATTAAATTGAAAGTAAAAGATTAGCATTTTGGTGGAACTTGTGTAGCGTCCGTCATGTAGCGTCCATCATCACATATTTCATGTACTTATATATTATCTATTAAACTAAATACAAAATAAAAATAAAAAATATTTATCTAGTCCAATGCTTAATATATTATAATAAAGTTTAAATTTAATCCCTTATCAATTTGCTAATATTCAGGTGAAACATAAAATAAATTTATTCCACTTCCATTTTTTGTAGCGTCCGTCATCTAACTTTAAAAAGTAAAATCTTGGAATCCTTAAATGTCAGATAATTATTTTATATGTTATTTTTTTTTACCTCATCTCCACTTTCAATTTTTAATATTAGCTTTAAAATCAGTTTTAGTTTTTGGGCATTTTTTTTAAATATTTGACAAGATTTTGGTCAAATGGTAGCGTCCGTCATCATGAAATGGCTGCCCTGTTCTTGGTACTATGTTAGATTTTTTTCTGTGCAGTGAAAGTAATGAGCACAAAATTTGTAATGCTTTTTTAGTTAAATCTAGTTTACTGCCAAACTTGCATATAAACTTTTCAACTTCAGCCCATGACTAAAAACCTGTTGCTAACTTCAGCCCGTGAATATTAATTACACAAAAGTTGGTTATTTTGGTCGAATTTGGACTCTGATCGTCTGATTATGCAAGTTTTGCAAATAAATTAACATTGTATGTAAAAATTAAACAATATTTTAAAAATAAAATTATGTTTAAGGAACTCCAGTTTTTTAAATATTAAAGTAACTGTTAATTAAAAATAAAATTTAAATTAGTTAACCTACCAAACCGAATAAATTGATAACATGCAATTTTCTGATAATTTTTTATATGGAAGCATTTTTTAATTTTATTTATTATAAAGGGTGATAACTGTAATAAATTAAAACGTAATCAATTAATTAACGACTTTCCTTTATAATAATTATTATTACAAAAGAAAATAAATTTTCTGCTCCTTTACGTGCCTTAATTGTTATATTATAACGTATGAACATAATTAATATAATATTAGGCACTTTATAAAGTATTATTATTTATAGTATTACGTGAAATTTATGATTTTATTAAAAATTTTGTCGTGAGAAATAATTAAATAGGAAATTTTGAGTAAATAAGCTGCGTTCTCTTTATTTATTTGATTAAGAGAAATATAGTATCTCCGAATATCCATTTTGGTTTGCCAATGTGTGCGTGCACGTTTTGCATTGAAGGTTGTTAAACGGTTTTAAGTTTCAGGCGGGCATGAGGTCGCAGAGGTATCACCAAACAGTGCATTTTTAACTCGCCATCTAGTACAAAAGCTTGAAGAAAGCTTTTCTCACAAGTGAAACACAATGTTTTTTCTACGACCCTTTTATTTTTTATTATATTCAAATACAAAACAAAATAACCTAAAAGGTTTTTAGTAAAAACGTGTTTCACAGCTGTTAAAATTACTTTCATCTTTAAGTTATAAGTTACTTAAAATCAATAAACTTACCTTCTCAATTTAAATGATGGCACTAAAAATTAGAATTTATTATACAAACACAATTAGTTGTGTTCTAAATAATATTTAGACATATATGTCTATATATTTAGACATATATGTCTATATGTCTATATGTATACATATACAAATACAATACAAATTTCTAAACGTAAGTATGTCAAAGGATTCTGTCAATTTTTTTTCAAACAGATCTGTCACTTTTCACACAGAACGTGTTTTGGCTTGCCAATCAAAAGATTCATTTTCTAAGCAACAATGTCATTACGAAATGTGACTTTTACATAGTGGTCGTAGAAAAAAACAGTTATCTGTGGGTAGGAAAAACTCGCACAGTCTGATGAATTTAAAAAATGCATTTGTACAGCAGCATATATCTGTGGGTAAAAGGCATAAGGGGATAAGTCAAAAAAAGCAATTTTTCGGTAGACTTAAACGTGTTCGCATTAATTCAGGAAATATATTTATGGTTAGCGAGTATACCCTTTTGCTAGCATATGACATGTGCTGGCAACAGGATATACCCGCTAACCATAAATGTATTTCCTAAATTAATGCTAACACGTTTAAGGCACTACTAATTGTTTTGACTTATCCCCTTATGCCTTTTACCCACAGATATTTAAATATGGTGGGAAAAATTCGCACAGTAGGATAAATTTAAAAATTCTAGGACAAATTGCACAGAGGGTTAAATTTTCAAAATTTACAACAAATAATAATTTTCAAAATTTACCAAATTTTCAAAATTCCAAAGAATTCTATATTTTTTTAAACTAATACCGTCCGATTCCCGATACCTGTTTTTTAAATATTTTTATTGACTAGCAGTTTTTGTTTTGTTTTTGAATCTTGTTTTATTGCAAACTACATATTAACATCAAATTCGTTTTTTTCAATTAAATAATTTTAAAATTTCGATTTAACAAAGATGCATTTCACTTATTTTATCAATTATGTTTATTATTATAGCATGACCTAGGATCTGGCACAATTATTGTTTGATTCTAATTGATAGTCGAGTTGGTTTTTTTGAGAAATAACCGTATTAGATTAAAGGAAAGTTAAAAAGAAACAAATTGCTGTAGTTCCGTATAAAGAAAACTTCTATAAAAAGGTTTTCAAATTCCTTAAAAGTACTAATTAAGACTTAATGTTTTTATTTAAATTTAAATGTTTATTGTAGAACACTGGTTATTTTATAAATTAAAATTGTTCGTTGTAAAAACTACCATATAAAAGTAATTGGAATAAAATTTAACTTATAAATATTATAACTTAAGTTTATTCTAATTAGACATTTTAAGGATATATATTTAAATTTAAAATTACTCTTGAACCTTGATATTTTTTAAATTTAGATTTGAATATATTATTTTATTTTTGCATAGAAATACAAATAAATAATTTATAAGCAATAATGTGAAAAGCCAGACCAAGAAAACATACATATGTAAAATTAAACAGAAAGTCATGGGATTAAAGTTTTTATCCAAAACCGACTTTGTATATTATATTTTCTATTGTTTATAAAAATAATTAATATTAAGAGATAAATGACTTATTTGCCATTTTAATTAATAATTTCTAGGATACATATAAATAGGCAACATCTGCATTTTATTGTTTTAAAATTAATAACACATATTCCACTTTCACGATTCATCACACTATAAAATGTCAATTTTATTATAGTTCTAATTGTTTAAAAAATAGCGAATGTTAATAAAAAGATCTCTGTAAATACATCTTCACGAAAAACAAAAGTTCACGTTTATTCTGTAGGGCCATTCCACGCTTAACGGATAGGACAGTTGCCGTGTTTTTATTTACAAAATAATATTGTTCTATTATATTACCAATGTCAAATTTTTATAAATAGTTCTAAACTAAAGCTGTTTAACAAGGTTTTTATTTGGCAAAATTAGGTATCGTGATTGACTGTTTAATTCCTTAAAAATTAATAATTTAAAGCGTAACGGACGGGACTAATACAAAGTCCCGTCCGTTACGCTTTAAATTATTTGTTTTTAAGGAATTAAACAGTCAACCACGATACCTAATTTTGCCAAATAAAAACCTTGTTAAACAGCTTTAGTTTAGAACTATTTATAAAAATTTGACATTGGTAATGTAATAGAACAATATTATTTTGTAAATAAAAACACGGCAACTGTCCTATCCGTTACGCGTGGAATGGCTCAGTAGTGTATTAATTTGATAAAACAGAAAAACGTAAACTTTATAGGCTAAATTTTAAATTGTGCATTTTTTGTAATTTTTATTTACGGTAAAAAATATATATTCTTTTTAAATTGCTTTCACCTACATAAGTAATAAAATATGGAATAAAATTCGTTAATCGATGAGAATTTTTTTTTATGAAAAATGCTCGGATACATAAACTTTAGTTTTTATTATAATTTTCATTTTTTTTTCCCTCACCACATTATGCACATTTTTAACAACCTCACCTTTTATTCATTGAAAATTGAAGATGATACATGAGGTTGTACCGAAACGTCGTCAGACATACGGTTCTTTTAAGAACCAAAAATCGACAAGACATAGCAGATCCCGAAAAACCATCAATACATATAACGCCCGTGGAAACCTAAATCGGAATATACAGGGTGGTCCAGGATTAATCTGAAAAATTTTAATGATCGATAGAGCCTGAAAAAACATTAAAAACAAATCCAAAAACATTTTTTTTAAATACACACTAACACACTAATAGCCCTTCAAAGGCAAAAAAACGTTTTTTTTTTAATAACTTCTGCTCAAATTTTGTGTAGGTAAAATTTCTTCAAAAGGCCCAGCGGCGGAGATTTTGGGGGGGGTTTCCCCTTTTTACCCCCATATTTTGACACCACTGGATTTTATTGGAAAATAATCAGATTTCTTATTCAATTTAGAAGCAAAACTTGTGTGTAAAATTTTCATAAGATTAGTGGTTTCGGAGACTTTAAAATTTCAAAAACACCGAGTACACGGAATTTTATCATATTTTATTTTAAATCGGTAACTTGGTAACAATTATGCAACGTTATCAATTTATAAAATATTTTAAAAATAAACTAGCGTCCAGGAGTCATCGTGCAGTTGTTACTGAACCCGTCATATTTTTAGGTTGTTTTATTGTAACGTTGATT